CTTACAAGCTAGAGACATGCATATATACACAAGTGTACATAATAGACATCTCTATATTATGTACTCTTAATATATATAGTTGCGCACAGACATTGATGTGATTAAACCAAAAGATCGGCGCGTCTGGGAATAATAATTCATTCATCAGATTTTCATCTATAATTCAATTAAAGATTATGTATAGAACTCTCTAGCTACGACAACGCATTAGATATGTAACGGTATATAGTAACTATAAAGGAAAAGTTGGCGTATGTAAAACAGGATATTATTTCTCTATCATTTCTCTGGAATAAAGGATTATTATATACGGTACGCGCCCCCTCCCCCCGTTCCCGAACACTGCACCCTCACCCCACAAATATAGGCTGTAAAGTTACATGGGGTGCGTCACAAAGTGTGAGGATACGGGTGGCATTGGCAAAATTCTGGCGAGTAACACTGTTTTAAAGTGTTCCGTCTCCTAATTATCCCAAAATATTAATTTTGGTTCCGTCCCGTTTCGGAGTCAAGAACACGCAACCACATAACCTATTGGCGCCACCTACTCATTACGGATATCGCTACCGACCACCGACTCAAAAAAGTGCTCAATGTTTTGAAAATTTGGCGGCGGAGATGTGTAAGTTGTAAATATGAAACATCTTATGATTTAATAGCAACTTTGTTGAGATGCATGATTAAACGAAATGGTGCAATTGTTCTACGGGACGGTATTGAATATCAGTATCATCAGTGCTCAATTTTAAGGTTTTTTTTGGGTTGTCCGGAGGACAACCAAGACTGAGACTGAGAGGTCTACTGCTAGCTCTAGTACTATAGCCCGTGTACAGTTGCCGCAGGCCTGAGCCAGGCCTGCGGCAACTGTACGCGGGCTATAGTACTAGAGCTAGCCTACTGCATGCGCTCTGCTCACGTGATGCTCAGTGCTGTAAAGCAGAAGGCCTAATCATGTACATTTTGTACGTTTTCAGGTAATGAGTGAAACAATGCGAATGGCCATGTCGCAGACATTGTCTGCTGTCACTGCAAAATGCTGTCAGAATAAAATATTGGTAATGTGGATCAATGACGTATAAATACTATAATAATAGTAATTAAAAGTTTCATTAAATTTATTTCATAACATTTACATTAACACTGTGTCAAGTGTTAGCGATAAGACAAGACAAAGTGTTAGCGATAAGACAACCACGGAAGCAATTTGTAGTTGCCCGAGAGAAAATCCAGTCGTCACGGACGACCGGACGACTGTTGAAATTGAGCACTGCAGTATGTCTTTCATTCGTTTGCTATACTGTAGACTGTAGTACTATAGACCTGTGCAAGCATCTTCTAATTTCGTTCTAGGCCTCGGTTAACCCGACCAGGCTGTGTGACTAATGTCAATATACAATGTCGGTATTCTAACTCTAGCAATACCGTTTCTTGGAGCTAGGCCTCGGTTATACTTAGAAATAGGTTAGGTTTAGGTTAGCCGTTAGGGTTGAAGGATAAAGTGCTAATGATAATTTGTTGCTGGGATCCTAAAATGTAATTAAGCCCAACACAACACACAACAGCTGCTATATAGTTCTGCAAATGTACTATCTCTAGTCACCTGTCTGGTCGGTGCATTCAGCGATTTGTCCCTCTAGGCTCTACAGTACAGACCTTCGACCCAGGCCATAATGCTGGAAAACAACAGGGAATCTTAGCAGCATGGCAGCCTAAGCAGTAGCCCATAATACATTAAAAAATTGGTAGCCGCTGCTGCTCAATCCTAGGTTGGGAACCAGACCCTCATTTTCGCAAATGTGCTAAACTAAGCCGGGGTGCCAAACTAGGATTGGGCCGCTCGCTGCTAGTGCCAGCGAGATAAATGTGCCGACTTAATCCTGCTACTTTCAATTAAAATTCAACTCAGTTTATTTGACACATATTGGTCCATTTATCAAACATGAACGATCCTTAACCACAAGCCACACCAGTCGCTGCACTAGGGAGATTCAATGCCGTTTTCCAGCATTGTGGCCGTAGCAGGAGCGAGGGGCTATATACACAGGTAGACCTACCAATATACTTGTTTATATTTGTAGTTGTACCACCTACCCAAGGAACTTTTAGGAAGTTTTTCACAATTCTCGAACCACTATATAGACAGGGCACATACAGAATATAATAAATATCTTATTTTCTGTACTGTTGAGTACTTCTGAAAATAAGTTATTCAAATTTACATTTGGCTGTCATCAACTTGCAACTGATCACGCAGTAGCTCTACCAATTAATAATATAGCCGTTTGCTGCATCACATGTGGAACCACAGCCTGTAGTCGAATGAAAAACTGCCAATATGAGAGCAGTTAGTGGTGTTAAATAGCATTTTTTATTTAAAATATATTAATAGTGTGAAATATGCTAGATGCAGTGGAGTATATAATATAATTTAATTCACGAATTAACCCACAGGTGTAGACCGTATACATTGGCTGAACTGTTGAAACAGTAAGTGTTGCCCGTAAAAATGTGCGTACACATTAAGTTTCATTTGTACTAGTGTATATTTTTTATTTTTTTAATGTCCTAGAATGTATATAATCAGGATATACAAAAGGTAGTAATTTTTATGATACTACTTTTATGAGATGACAATAGCAACAATAACAATATATCTTTAGTTTGAGTTCAAATATCTTTAAATTGAATACTGCATGGATGGACATATAATATGTTAATTAACAGCTAAATAATCTATAACAATAACAACAAGTCTATATACATTGTTATGTCCATGCAGTTTTTTGTTTAGTTCTTGCTCATTTAAATTTGATAGCAATCAGTTAAAGAGCAAATATAAAAACAAGAAATAACTGATTAATCTCATTGTTATACTCACATAAAAGACACTAATTGAGATTTAATTTGATAATTCAAATGTGAATTTCTAGTGTAATATCGGACACTAGAGGCAGATTAGAAACGTTTTCATGTCATTTATCATGAGTAAATGGCCCTTTTCTAGCCCGAACGCCAATCCACCGTTCTATGTATACATGTGCAAAGCCCCCTAGAAAGGCAGGACTAAGCTCATGTATCACCTATTAAGTTTTTGAGCCAGAACGAGATTTAATCATACATTGTTGCACTGTGTTTTCCCATAAATAGACTTCTGTGAAACATGTAATTCATCACCCCTATGCATCAAATTGGCAGCAAATGTCAAGATTTTTACTCTAAACATTTAATTATTTGCTACATTGCCATTTTTTAATTAGACTTACTTACAGGAACCCATCAATAAAAGACATGACTGCAGTCCAATAGAGCATGTCACTCGTAATATAACAATGTAAAATTGAAATGTGTGTACCACTAATATCTGCCTTGTAGTTGTAGTCATAATTTGTGAGAACATGAAATTCTTTCTTCTCTCCAAGATCACGTCACCTGTATCAATGCTAGCCATATCTATAATTTCTGCGTTGAATTCTTGAAAGAGCAGAGACTTTTTTTTTAAAACAGTGCAATTTTCATTAATTGTGAAAAAAACAATTCAGTTTTGTCTTTCAGTTATTTCATACGTGACAATGCTTAGTTTCCAGGCGCACGTATGTTCGCTGAGAAACTGACACGATGGACAAAGCCGAGGAAGAGTTGATAAATTTACGCAGGCGGCTGGACAAGTTGGGTTACCGGCAGCCGCTCTCGACCGAGTCAAGTCTGCTCGTCGGAAGACTTTTTAATGATCTCGTGCTGACGACGGAAAGCCTGAGAGCTGCAAAGCTCGAGGTATGAAATCAACATGATTACTCATATTATTGATGAACAAATTCAACAGCTGAAATCCCCCTGTGACTGGAGTCATTCTACATGCTAAAGCCCGTCAATAATTCTTTATCACCAGTGGGACTCGAGTAAAGTTATTGCAGTAACTGCCCCGGGACACTTGTGAAACTACAGCGCACACCAATAGAGTTGCTGGGATATTCGTGTATCTACAGGGGGCTGTATATGATACCATAACCTCTGTGCCATGTGTATTGTTCTATATTCATGCATTGTTACTTATGACTTCGTTACGATGCCATTATAGCGATGAAATTAATTACCTGCGTAAATTGTTGTTGCTTTGTTCAAGGCTACCAAAAACTCGACGAAAACTCTGGGGTCATCATTAAATCCATACGTAGAACCTTACGCAACAGAAAATGCAAGACTAATAAAAGAAAATAACGAGCTTCAGGCCAAACTTGCAAATGTGCAAGAAGCTGCAGATGCTAAGTCAAAAGGTAAAAATATCTCAGACGTAAACTGGTCGCGCAGTTATACTTTAGCCACATCTTGAGTATCAGAAAATCATATAGAGTCCACATAGCAACTATATAGAGTCTACATAGCTACTATGTAGTATACTATAGTGTATTTGATCTAATATGTCTTCAGCTTCATACTGTATAGTTGTGTATCAGCACAAGTGAGTCATTGGTATATTACAGACTATCGACACTAGAGTCTCTATTGACACGTATCTTCGTGATCTATGATCTGATATTCGTTGTTGTTCAGGTTTGAAGTCATCCGTTGTTAAGCTGCAGCATGAAAACGCTGACGTGAGATTTCTCAACAGTCAGTACTTGCACAAGATATGCGAACTGGAGAAGGATTCCACTGTCAAGTCCGACAGACTCTATGCGTTACAGGAGAAAAATTTCCAGGCTGTGATACAGACTCCCAGTAAGTAGCTTTGTTATGGTTCACGGACGAAAGTATTGATAGCATTAAAATGGTATTTCTATTCGTATTGGCATGCGATGTGATTAAGCTAGGAAAATGCTTTACTAGAGTATTGACTGTTACTTCTCTAGCAGAGTAGTAGTTGAATTGAATGGAATTCAATTGAGTATCTTGCATATGCATGTCTTTTGATAGACCTACCCAAATAGCCAACAAGGTGGTGTTTCCTGTGGTAATGAAATGAACTAATGATACTAATATCAATGGATGTCTGCTTGTTGTCACAGTAAAAAAAATATTGTTGAAAGTTTCACAGAGCGTGATAATACTGTTTCATTGTGAATGTGTTATTCATCGTCTCTAAAATTTCACCCCTGTTTCACTATGATAGTGCAGAGATGCATGTTAGCGGTTGTAAATTTGCCATTTATCTTAATTAACCACCTCATGTAATGAACATGCAATTCTTATTGCAAATATTAAAATGTGTGTGTGTGCGCGTGCATGTGCATGTGTGTGTGTGTGTGTATGAGAGAGAGATAAATAGATCTAGATATATAGATTATATAGATAGAGAAAGCAAGAGGAAGAGAGAGAGAGAGAGAGAGAGAGAGAGAGAAAGTGTGTGTGTGTGTGTGTGCATGCGTGTGTGCGTGCGTGCGTGCATGTGTGTGTGTTTGTGTGAGCTTATAGAGTGTAAGCTGTAAATTTGTAGATTTTTACGTAAAAGAGCAACTAACGTGTGTACATAAACAAAACTAGGAGAATGAACGTTTTATTGGGCGAGTTAACATGCCTTCATAATTGAATAAAATGAACGTGCTAAATTTTAGCAGGTCACAAACAGCAGTATCTACCGTTTCGGCGGCAGCGCATGGAAATAGACTTTCCGTTGCCACCACCCGATAATGTACTCAAACGGATGCAAATGGACGATCCTTACATCGCTGATTTGCTCAAGGTAACTGAAACTTGATAGTTCACATAAAAAATTTAGCTTCCAATCGTAAAGGTGGCTATTGCATGTGTCAATTGATCCGTCAGTCTGTACGTTTGATGCTGCATATAGGAGAACCTATCTGAAGTTTATTTAACCTCACTGCCCACTAGGTGGCAATACTGATGAGGATTAGCAGGTGGTATGCTATAATTATGTATGTACTTATTGCCCACGGCTATATAGCACAGCGCAAGAAGTATGTTGCTATATTTAAAAAAACTACTCTAACATGCAGCATTATTTACAGTTTAATTCAGATTTATATTAAATTAATGTTCTTACTTTTCAATTTTTTAATGAGAAGCAATTAAAATGTGATTTTTCAAAATTGATGATGTTTGTTATGGATGATGGCATTGCTTATGTGCCTCTCACAGAGATGGCATAATGAATATAAATTTCAAATGCCTCTTCTGTAATCCTTCATCATTTTAATAATTAAATATTGCAAGTGCCTAATGTGAAAATAAGTACCAAAATTACGCCTTACGTCATTGAGAGACCACACAAGCTGTCGGACCAGCCGTTAATATCAACAGAAAGCTATCAGCAAATTTTCAAAACAAGTTCTTCTTTTTTCCCAATTGATATCGAACCTCAAAAATCGATGGAAAAACTGTAAAATATTACCTATTTGCACAGCAGGGCATTTCATATTAAGGTTGCTTTATGGGTGTAGATGTGTGTCCCTGTGCATATATGTACTCAGAAAAATTTCCATTTTGAAAAGAATCTTCTTCATCCTTGCAAAGTATCACTAAGTCGTATGTCAGCCGATAGTTTGTATCGGTTCGGCTGATATCATTGCATGAATCTGTTTCTGAGCTTAGCATGTTATCAATTTATATGATATCATCAGGAGTAAGATAATATAGATCTATATTATCTTACTCCTGATATCATGTCAATGGAGTGTAAAATCCATACTAAAATTATCGGTTAATGGCATGATATCAGTTTATGCGATATCATGTCAATGGAGTGTAAAATCCAAACTAAAATCATCGGTTAATCATCGAGTGACTGCATTATTACGACATTATTAAAGGTTTGCGGCACTTTTGCAATGTAAGCTGACATCTTGTTCCCATCAGCGCTAACACGTGACTGTAGACAGTCACTGGTTCACCTAGTGAAAATTTAATTCTGCTAAAATCCCGAGTCTACTCCATTACTAGCCGAGAAACAACACTGCTGTTGCGCATGGGAGCTGTAACAACAGTGAATAGCCTCGCAAGCTTATGTACCTCAGCAATCCACTGGTAGTGGCCTTTACTGTATTGCTGGTTTGTCTGAGATTGTGGCAGCTATGGCTTCAACAGCTTTCTCGTATGGAAATATTTACTAGATTTATTAATGCGACCAGGTCGCTGACACACGCATAGAAGAGCTTCAGACAGATGTGGAGAAGGACAAGGAGGATAAAGCTAACCTAGAAAAACTTGTTGATGTCTTAAAAAAGCAGGTACGTTTGACTGATTACGCTTGATGTTGGAATTTAGAGGTAAAGCTGTAATGTTGTTACGTGAATGCAAATATGTACCTGGTCCTCTGTTGTGAGATATCAAGTTTGAGTTCTCACTGTATAATCGAAACATTGACCCACCTTTCCTTGCAATGCTGGGTGAGGGAGTGTATTCTGGTAATTATTTAAGAATGGTCCCAACAATTTTTTCATATATTGAATATCATTTATTTCTCTTGCATGGCACTTTCAAGTACACTACCTCAATATACACGAATTATTGCCTGGGTTGGTACATTTTAATCATATACCTGGCAGTGCTGTCCAAGTTCTAGCAATTGGAAGGTTAACGGTTACTTAGGTAACTATGTTGCAAAGATTGGTAGGAATTTGATTAGTTATTAAGTTGCAAAGCAGGAGCTTAGGCAATGAGTTTTTGGGCTGACCAGAAAGCTTCATTTGTGTATGTGTGTGTGTGGGTGTGGGGTGCGTGCACCTGTGCGTGTGCATGTGAGTGTGTGCGTGTGTGCGCGCATATGCGTGTGTAATTTATCGTGGCTTGTTGCATGCACTGATTAAATACCAATTATGAAAGTAGAATCGAAATACATCATCAGTAACATTAGGGCTACAGTGGATTAAGCTGCCGATATATACTGCATCTGAGCTAACACCTGTACAGTTTGTATGTAAACTATGCCAAGCTTTTGATGACGTGCTTGCTTGTTGTTTTCTAGTAATGAGCACTCTAGTGTAAAAAATAGTAATTAGACGTAATACGCGAACGGCGTGCATGCAACGTGGGCCGATAAACCAGACTGGCAGAAAAAGGGAGCGTTGGCAGGCTGTTCAGCGTAGAACACGAGCCTTTTTTATGCGTGGCCAACTGTGTTTGCCAAATTACACCTTGAAGCAGCTGCGATGCATGCCTGATACAGCCTGCAGCTGTAGTATGTTAATTAGTGAAATTGCATTCGCGCGCGCCGCAGCACGGGCTGCCTCCTCATCTGCAGGTGGTCAGCTCGAGCACGGACCTTCGTGCACTTACTATTGATTGATTCAATTATAAATTAGTCATTAACATTAATAATTTAGTCCATTGTGTGCAAATGCGGTGGTTTACTCGGCTGCCATTAGCTCCGGAGCTGGCATCGCGAGGCAGTGTGTGCTGCCGCTGTTGGTGCCAAGTGGCCCGCTAACCTGGTGCATAGGGGAGCTGTTAACCTGTCTGTGCACCTGTTAGAGACAGCCCCGTGAGCTTTGACGCCGAGTGTGTGCATCGTCGTTATGTGTGCTGTGATTGAAACCGATTAGAGAGAGAGAGAAAATAGCCCCGTAATGTATATCTTGCAAGATGTTCGGTTTCTCGTGACTTTAGTCGGTGACCGTGGATTGAATTCAGCGTATTGTTTAAGGATGGCATACTGATCGGGATCCACTCATACACGTACGAACTTATAATTACTAATATTACAAAATAATACTATTATTAGCATTTTTATAGCTGTAGTCAAATTGGCATCTTATGAGATCTTGTAGTAGGGATAGTAATATTAAACGGAAATATGTCTTTTTTATTAGTATGGAGCATGTATCAAATGCCCCGGCTCTCATTTTCGCAAGTTACACATTAAAGTAGCTAATTCATAATCATATAAGTGTTAGTTTGTGTTAGAGGAAGTCTCTATATGTACTTTATATATATATATATACATATATATATATATACTACTCTATATATTTTATTTTTTACTTTATTCGGGCGTGATACAAGAAAGATCGCAGGTAATTTCTCATCAACTTGTTTAAAGCAGTAATATCGAGTCTTTAAATATAGATATTCAGCAGGTGCTGACAGGTGGTCACGGCCGTGGGGTATGTTCGTACAGCAGGAGATGATTTAGGGACCAGGGGATTGAAGTGATGTAGCTGTCGCTCTTGATGTTATATAGGCTTACACATGGGTAGTAGTTGTCTTCTGTACCCCCTGATGTACTTGTGTATATATATATATATATATTATTATATATATATATATATATATATATATATATAATATATATATATATATGTATTGCTGTACCTGTTGTACTTTATTTTATTATATGTGTGCGTGTGCGTGTGCGTGTGCGTGCATGCGTGCGTGCGTGCAAGCTTTTTAATGTTGATGTTGTGGTTGCTTAGCATTACTAGATAAATGTACACATTATGTAAGTTCTTATTCCTAATGGGATGCTCTGATTCCCACCCTATTCTTTGCGTTTATTTGTTATGTATATTCCAAATCGTTTCCAAATAGTGGTAGTCCATGAACAGTCCTTGTTCTACCAGTTCCCGAACCTTTATCAAATTCTTCCCTTGTGTTGAGTGCATGTGTAGGCATGATGTTTGAAATCACCCCATGCTTGAGTGCATATAACTACCGGCAATTGTCGATGTGGATAATAATCATTGTTGTTGTATATTAGTTTCTTCTGTAAAACAATGATAATGAATGGTTCAGGTTGAGAAGAGAGACCGCGAGGTTGATCGATTGAATCAGCTTCTAAAAGGTGGACAGCCGTTTGATGTTGTGAGTGCGGAGGCCAAATCCCAAGGCAATGAGAAGCTCGTGCAGCATCTGAACCTGCAGGTGATGTTTTGTGCGCGTCGACAGCTAACTAACGCCGAGTCTCGTACCATCTGCGTGGTTTGCAATATTCACACTGCTTGTTGTTCTAATATCACCGTTAGTAATGCACGAAGGGTCGTTGTCGTAACAGGTACTACAGATATGTACCCGAGGTAGTTTTAGGTTGTTTAGTATTATGTTTATATTTTTATATGAGGTATGTTTAGGGTTAGGGTTAGGGTTAGAGTTAGGATTAGGGTTAGGGTTAGGCTTAGTGTTAGGGTTAGGGTACACTTCTGTAGTACAAGTCTGGTACACTTTGTGTATACATATATGTACCTCGGGTACATATCTGTAGTACCTGTTACGACAACGACCCCTTGAGCGTTAGTAATGATGGATCCACCACCATCATCCTATGTTACATTGTTCCCTCCTGGATTTATTTCACGGTTTCAAGTCCCTTGTGTGGTTCACGAGCATGTTAGCAAAACGCATCACACCCCGGGTACCCATCTACATCTGGAGAAGGAGGAGGGTTAGGCCTAAAAAAATAAATGATGTGTTTCCGAGAACGGTCTTGAAAAAATTAGGTAGGGTAGGTAGGTAGGGATTTTTTTTTTAAATAAAAAAATCCGAAAATGTCAAGCGTTCAGAGGTGAGGTGAGTACCATATTCTAGGAGTTTATGATTTATTTTTTAATTGATAATTTATTTTTGAGAATTGATAATTGATTGATTTATTTTTATTTTTTATTTTTTTGATAAATTTTTATTTTTTTTTGAAAATGGAGAAAAAAAATGGTCGGCTCCTATTTGCTAGATAGGGTCGGGTTCTCGGAAACACATCATTTATTTATTTTTTTAGGGCTTACCCTTTCTGTCCGTATATCTCGTCTACCGCATTGATGTCATGATGCAGATGTCGGACACTCAGCTGAGTCCTCGTGTGTCAACTGTTAGCATTACTTTAATGATCACTTGAAGGTCATTAAATCTTTTTAGATTTTTCAAGTTCTTTTTAGATCTTTTAAGATCATTAAAGATTACTTTTAAGATCAACAACAGAATCCTTCCCTTGCAAAACTCGATGTTGGGAACGATTCTGTGGTTACATTGCAGCTTGACTTCCTACAAAAGGAGAACCAGGAGCTGCAACAAGCTCTCAAGGAGTCCAAAAACCAGCTCAAAGAGCCTGCGGGCCATCTCGATGATAATCGAAAGGTGAGTACTGGTGGCGTGGTACACAGGTCAGTCCTTCCCGAGTACATACAGCCACTGCTTGTTAAGTGAAAGGCTGTGTTGCAGAAACCTAATTAGCTTGTTATATATCAATAATTGGCACACCGGGTTCACCGCTGCCTCTCATGCGCAGTGCATAGTGAGGCTCATAGGGTCTATGTTCCCCAGGGTACTGCCGGAACGTACCCTGGGTACGGTCCGGTATACCGGAATGTACCCTGGTCACTATTTGATATGGTTAGGGTTAGGATTAGGGTTAGGGTTAGGGTTAGGGAGTAGGCATAGGCGACTCCTTAGACTCGTTAGTGGAGTAGGCGAGGTACGGTCCGGCATATTAGATAGTACCAGGGTACGTTTCGGTATACCGGACCGGACCGTACCCAGGGTACGTTTCGGCAGTACCCCGGGGGACATAGATCCTCTCAGCCATAGTGAGGCATATACTGCGTTACCCCTCGACTCACTCGCGTCGCGTCATATCGCGTGTGGAAGTCGCTGAGCTCGGTTTGTACGGGTGCTGGAAATCTTTGAAGGTCTCTGAATTTTAAAATAACACGTTGTCCATGTCTGGGAAAAAACCCATAGAAGTTTTGTAAAGTCCTGGAAAATGACCATTATTATTTGGTCCTGCAAAGTCATGGGAAATGAGCACGTGTATATTCCCCGTTTCACCGATGTTGTGGAGATATATGTTCTGGAGATGTTTCTTCTTTGAGAGGCAATAAAGGAGGGTTAAAGCAAGAGTTTGTTCACTGATGATTGATGGGAAGATGTGAGATATAATTGAATTTAGTGTTGAGCTTGGGGGTATTGGATTTGTCATGCTATTAAACCTGATGAGGTTGTGCTGCAATACCATTTAAGTTACAGGTGCAGAGATGCCAACCACTACGATTTATTCGTATTTTATACGAATTTCTTTTGCACCACTACGACCAGTTTGTATCAAACTACGAATTTCACTGTGATCTAAAAAAAAAATTTTGACCCTCAGAATGCAGGAAATTGCATCTCAGAATCAAACAATTTTCCGCGGGGCATGCGTGACCCTCGAACTACTAATTTGATGGCCAGAAACTACAGATTGCTTCAAATATGTGTTGGCATCTCTGCAGGTGCATAATTTCGTGTTGTTTTCTGCGAATGACCCGTGGGAGTTTGGTGTGTTTGCCTTGCTATGTTGAAGCAATTTTTGCATTTCGTAAATATTAGATGTGATCATGTGAATGTTTTTGTTTGTATGAATGCAGGAGTTCGAAAACAAACTCAAGGATATCGGAAACCTTGTGCATACACTAGAACACAGTAGCAAGGGCATACAGGCAACAGATGATGAGCTCCATCGTGCAAAGGTTAGTTACTACAATCCTAGAGGTTTTGAGTTTTCCAGCTACCGCGAATATTTGGTTTTCCACTTTCCTCCTCACAATGACATCTTGACCAACTAAACTTACTTCTAACGTACTTTTAAACACTACTTCAATCTCTATTCCCCAATCATGTGACATTTAACTTGTATTAACAATGTCGTTTTAACCTTGCTCTGAGTTGAATCCACTTGGGAATTTTGTAAGCCTCACTCTAGTACTGAAGCTGTTTTTTTGTCTGTATTCGATCCATAGCACTTTGAGATCCTGTTAAGCCACTAACATAGTATCAACCTATGATTTCCTGGTTCCCAGCCTCACAGGAAAACCAGTTCTCTTTTGTACTTGACCACTATCGCTTTAGTAAGCTTACCAGCTTTCTTTCCATGACTTCGCATCCCCAGTTGGGTTGATGCTTAATTATTAACCTGATGATAATACTGTCTATAATGTGGAACAAGTGGCCTGTTATCTGAAGGTTATACGTCAAGAAATAGTCTATTAGGTTATTGAATATAAAGGTCAACTTTACTCCGTGAGACCCCAACTTATAAGAAAGCTACATTTTAGATGCGATTACGCGTTAGTCAGAGTCACGGACAAAATGCTGAAAACAGCAATACTACTGTAGATGCGCTAGCCTGGCCGAACGATAAAAAATTAATTAAACCGCTTCACTCCAGCCTTGCCTCTTGCGCGTCTAGCTGTCAGTGAGAGTGATTCGATGGATACGCATTGCAGGCCGATCGGGAGACCGCATTAGACCAGCTGCGCAACTCGGAACAGGAGAACGCCACTTCGAAAGAGGTGAGCGGAGGCGGCGATGACGCAGCATTCGTCTCCGTCAGGCGCGACGCTAATTGAATGTAGCATGCGATGCGAGTGACACGAACGCCACCGACGCGGGGAGCGTGCCAATGCCGCCGCGAAACTTTGCCGCCGCTCGAGTTTCTGCGTATTGATTTTGCCGCGCCGATTGGATTGCACGTGCGCGCGAGACGTGGAGAAATTAATCTGACTGAGTGTGGTGACGCGATAGGTGAGTGCGCAGTGGAGGGAGAAAGGAGCAGAGGAAAAGAAAGAGGAGAATGAGAGAAAGAAGAGGCGGTATGAGAGAATTGTGAGAAAGAAAGGGGGGGTAGGGAGAACGGGGAGTGAAACAAAGAGAGGAGGTTGAGTGAGGAAGTGATTGTATGAGTGAGTGAGTGAGTGAGTGAGTGAGTGAGTGAGTGAGTGAGTGAGTGCGTGAGTGAGTGAATGAGTGCGTGGGTTGGGTGAGTGGTTGGGAGGGAGGGAGGGATGGAGTGAGTGGGTGAGTGAGTGAGTGAGTGAGTGAGTGAGTCAGTGCGTGGGTGGTTGGGTTGGAGGGTAAGTGAGTGAGTGAGTGCGTTAATAGGTGAGTGAGTGAGTGAGTGAGTGAGTGAGTGAGTGAGTGAGTGAGTGAGTGAGTGAGTGAGTGAGTGAGTGAGTGAGTGAGTGAGTGAGATAGAGATAGAAAGAGACGAAAGGAGAGATGAAGAGGAGGAAATGAGAGAAAATGAGAGAGCAAGGATGAGGAAGAGAAAAATGAAGAAGAGGCAGCCGAGAAGAGAGGTGCGGGGGGGAGGGAACCAGGAAATTCAATATTGGTGGAAGTACAGTTGCATGTAAGGTCCGTCATGCTGCAGTGAGCCCATTTATGGTGAAAATAAAGCACACTATAAAGAACAAGAAGCAATACTACAATTTTAATAAGTATTTTGAATGTTTTTATCTTTGCAGTATATAGTTAATTCATATATCATATAGCTTATATGATAAAGTAATAAGTAATCGTATGTAAAAAGTTTAATCAAAATCAGCAGTTATGCAAAGAAACGTCTTTATCATAAATGTTTAAGGAAATTTCAAGACTACACCAGGAGCTGCACAATTTGAGGCATACAGAAGTTGAACAACTGAAAGGCTTGCTGGATAAGTCTTACCATGATAAAAACGCATTAGAAGTAAAGGTCAACGAATTGTTTGCAAAAGGTACGTAATGTTGGTATTTTTAAAAGTAAAGATGCTGGGAAAAATTACCACGTTTATGGAAACATTTATTGACATTTTTTGTAATTACCGGTGCATTACAGATTAAACTGGTGTTGGTGGGTAAACATATCTTTACGCACTGAATGAATGAGTGTATTCGTTTTTCAGTTTATTCCAGAATTCGGCACAAATCTGTTACTTTCAAAATAAATCATAAACGACACAACATTAATTTTTTGATTCAAAAATGAACAAAACCAGCTAAAGTTTGAAGGCGCGTCATCGTGGTGACATCGTCGTCATGGCGACGTCGTCGTCGTTTCAACACTCGTCGTTGCGACGCCGTTGTCGTGGTGACACCGTCGTCATTGCTACGCCGTTGTCGTGGCGACACCGTCGTCATTGCTACGCCGTTGTTGTAGCGACGCCGTCGTCGTGGTGACACCGTCGTCGTGGTGACACCGTCCTCACTTCGACGTGCTAACCGAACGCTCGTTGCTACAGATCAAGAGCTTGAGATGGAGCTGGGTAAGCTGAAGGCTGCGTCTGTGCGCTCGGCGGCCGCTCGCTCGCCGGGCCGCGTCGACAAGCAGATGAAGCAGCTGGAGGACGAGAAGGACTACTACAAGCTGGAGGCAGACACCATGCAGAAGATGATGAAGAACTGGAAGTCGACGGCGCCATCTAGCGGGAAGAAACTGGAACGCCCAAAGTAATTCGTCGCGGCGCGCGCTCGCGATTGCGGTCGAACGCGGCGGCAATCGATTCATTATTCTGTTTTTCGCACGTTGGCTTCTTTGGCATATCTTGATGTGTATTATTGTGTTATTAATGAGATAATGTGATGTTAAAAATGACAGCATGATGTATAGAGGGTTCCGCGACTTGCACTAAAAATAGCAATATTACCTACAATCCCGTGCCGCCGGCCATACTGGTTCCCAGAATTGCGAACACATGTTACCGATAGACGCAATCTACCGATTTTACATTGATAGTTTGTACATACGATAGTGTTATTACAGTAATCTATAATAGTAGTAAGTGGATCCCGGTTTTGCAGACAGGTTTACCAGCGCGTGTTGGGGTGCTAGAGTTCGATATGATTGTGCACACCCGGTTGTACAGGGTGTTGCAGGCAGGTTTATCAGCGTGGGTTGGGGTGCTAGTCTGCTAGAGTTCAATGAGATTACACAGGTCCGGTTTTTTGCAGGGCTTTGCATGCAGGTTTGTTAGCGTGGGTTGGGGTGATGAGGTTGCCGCAAAGTCGGCGGATTGCTAGATTGAGCAGATCGGGAGATTGCACGCAACACATATCATGGACTTGAGTTTGTTTACATAGCGAGTGTTCAGAAATTTCACCGATTTTACTGCATATAGCTATCAAATGCAGCTTTTTATAATATCTGGTGTATGCACATTTGCCAACTGTCTGAAGTGTACGTAGTATGGATAAGTACTTTGATGCACTAGCCAACGTAGCCAAAGCACGCTATCTCGAGAAAATTGCGTGCATTGGGAATCGACACCCGTACGAGAATGGAGCGAGGACCACAACTTAATTGTGCACGTCACGTACTTATTAGGATCTCGTGAATTGACTACCTAACATTCTCGCCGAGTCCATTTTATACTCTCAAGGACTTTCAGAACCGCAAAAGCCTGGATGCCTACGATCGACTGTTCTGCGGTTGGGTTAGTGGTGTATCAGTCTACATCTATCATGTGAACAGTGAGCGTCCCATCTACGTTATCCGAGCACGTGGTATGCACTCCCAGTGTCTGATTATACCATCTCTCTATCCGTGCATGGGTCACGATGAGAGAATATGGGACAGGCATCATGTCAGCACACTGTAATTGTAAAGTCGGGCTTGGTTAATTCGGTTCACATGTTGCCTCGGTGCTATTTTATGTAGAGTATGCTGCACGTGCAAGAGAAATCCCCACCCCCACTCAAACAGCTGCCTACTGGATGCTGGCGATATATGTATATAAGTGTAAATGTGTAGCAGTGTGCGACGTGCGTGCGGTGTACCTGTGTGTTGCAGAGGAGCATTTGACCGGCATTTACAGGTAATTATCGGCAATACTAGACGAAAGAGAGTAGAGAAACATTAAGACATTGGTAGTAAATACATTTCGTGTTTATTCAGCATTGCTTTTTTATTGAAAATGCTTCAAGCGTCTGTGGTCCGCCTTGTCTCTCGTCACTTTACCTTGTGTTGTGATCACGCTAGGCAGCCTAAAAAAGCTGTGTGGCTCTCTCTGATACCGATTGCTGCAGTTGACAACACCGCAGGAGAGCGGCGTTGTGATGGATTTGCTTAATAGGCGAATAAAATGAGCAGAGAACAGTGCGTTGCTCAATGTACTTGTACCAAGCCTGAACTGGTTTCTGGAACCGTCATGGCCGGAGGCGTTGCATTGTGGGTAATTAGAAAATTCGCGGAGCCCTCTATACTTATTATTGTCGATTCTCATCCGTAAGTGTAAATATTGGATGTAAGGATATAGGATGCCAGCCTGCATGATCCTTGATCAGATTTTGAGTTATTTGTAGTGCCATAGAGTACTATAATATCGTGCTGTGTAGTGTGTGTAGATCAGCATGGTCAGTATTGTAGTGTCTTTCCCTAACACAAACCCACGCGTTCTGTTGAGCAAACTGTGATTGGAGTACTTACATGATATGTCAAGCACTAAAGCAGCGAAGTGTGACTGTATCACGTAAGCAGCTAAAAATCTCACGGTCGTCAAATGTACGCATTCTTACTTTTTTCAAACTTTTTTTTTAAAGTTTTAAAAATGCAATCGTTATATTTCGAACCTAGGAGCCCCACCGAGAGACTGAACTCGATGAAGAAAGGTGAGTCGATCAAGAATCTGACCTCGACGTCGAAAGACACGATCGATCTCGACTCGACAGGGGGCGACACAGACAGCCGACGCACGCCACTACCCAAGGGAACCGGCAGCGGCAAAAAGGTTCCAAATACGGGGACCGGGTGGAAGAAAGCGCGCGCGCGACTCTTGGCCGGTGCAAAAGCGGAAAAGAAACGGGACAGCGAAGATTTCAGCGGCTCCGACATGACTCGAAGCAGACGAGGTCGGAGCAGGATGGACGAAAACTCGTCCGAGCAGATCGGCCTTGATTCGAGCAACGATTTTCAAACGCCCGACGTGGGAGGGGCAAAGGTACGTCTGCCCGCTCCTGTAGTGGTTGCTGGGAGGTAGTATGTATTACATTCTATAGCTACCGTGTTACAAATTCTAGCAACAATAGCTAACGTGTTTCTCAAATAATTAATACCGTATAAAGAAATGTGACTTTGGGAAAAAAACGTTTTGAAAAAATCACTGCTGTAGTGTGATTCACTCATTAATAGTGAATGTAATAAAGAAATAAGGCGTTTAAGTGGCTGTGAGCTGATATGTGACTACTTTTCTTCTGGTGATCTAAAGGTCGTGTCATTGAATTACACACCATCTTGTAAACTGGTATTTCACTCTGTATGTAATCATTATTACATTTTTTATAACGATAACATGGTTTTTTTAAATGCTAGTGAAGTTCTACTGTTAGTGGGTTGCTGCACCCCTGCATCATATTAGACTGTTGAGGACATCTTCATTTTCATGAGTATTTGCAAATATTCGCCATATATATCTGCTAACACGAGTAGTATTCCCTTTGATTAGCAATATCTACATGATTATAAAATGACTAAATTCTGCCTTCCATCACGGATAAAAAATGCTAGTGCACAGACTGACACCATGTATTGTTATGCATCAAACCAACTTTACTTCTACCATCCCGATTCTTCGATTGAAATAGTCTGAGATCAAGAAGTACCTGTGTAGGTTCACCACCTCGTTTTACGCTGCCATGTGCAGTATCTTTCATAGATTCAGTAAAGACGATACTCCACTTGGTTGATTGAAACATTTTAATAGGCAATGCGATGTCGTAAGTGTGTTGACATCAAGAGGTTTTATCCAGAAGCATCTGGAGGCAAAATATTAACATGCCGCTTCATTTCTGTACTTGCAGAATGTTTCCCATTATGAATCCTATATCAAACTACTCGAGGAAGAGAGAGACCATTATAAGCAAGAGTGTGAAAAGTTGAGATCATTCCAGCAAGATGCAAGGTTTGGCAAAACGAGTGTAAGTAGCATTTTATTCAAACTAGACCATGAAACCAGCTAAATAAACAATGACGCGACTCCCCGCGATCTTCCGAATCCTCCATACAGCAGAATAATTCATAAAATTCATCAATCTATTAACAATTCCAATTAATCCAGCTTGTTAAATGCTTGATTACTCGACTTTTCGGAAATCGTGGCCGACACTATCCGCGCTGACGCCGATTCCTTGAAATAATGAAACGCATTTCACTGCGGCTGCGTAAGCAGTCCAACGAAATCCACCCACCTTAACAGTTAACCTACTCGGCTTAATCACCCCCATTTTCTCGGCGACGATCGCGCAGGATATCGCCGAGCAACTCTCCGGAGTGTCTTCCTTTGTGTGTTGTGACCGCTCGTCGCGTTGAGAATACGAATTACGTGTTGAGAATGCGCGACGGCCCCCGTCGCTGTGGGTGACTGCGCAGCAGCGGGTTTGCCGTGCGCCGACGTGTTGAGAATGCGCGACGGCCCCCGTCGCTGTGGCTAAAGCTGGCTTTACACTACCGACTTTATGTTGTCAAATTGGCGAATTGGACCAATTTCGCAACCATGCAACCGACAATCGGCAGTGTAAACGCAAAAGTCACACGCGAGTAACTGGTCAATAGCAACTAGTTTGGAGATTAGAACATGTTCTATTTTCGCCAACTCGGTGTTGCCGAATTTGCGAAATTGGTCCAACTCGCCAATTTGACAGCATAAAGTCGGTAGTGTAATTAAACCCAGCTTAATGCGTGGTGATGATGTTGTTTTCACACTTCGACAACAGGCGAGCGACGAGATTCGAAAAATGAGGGCTGAGAACATGAAGCTTCGCGACACGATGAATCGGTTCGAGAAGCAGATTGCAGATGTAAGTCTTAGGGTGATTTTTGTGTGTTTATGTGTTTCGAAGCTGCAACTGTTGAACAGTGTTGCAGAAATGTTGTAACTTTGTTGTAACTGTGTTGTAACTGTGTTGTAATAGCGCTGCTGAACAATGTTGTAACAGTGTTGTAACAATGTTGTAATAGCGCTGCTGAACAATGTTGTAACAGTGTTGTAATAGCACTGCTGAACAATGTTGTAACAATGTTGTAACAGTGTGTGTTGAACAATGTTGTAACAGTGTTGTAACAATGTTGCAGCATTACTGTTGAACAATGTTGCGATATTTTTGTAATAGTGGTGTTGTATTTATTTTTATTGCATTAGATTTTAGATTTAGATTTTATTTCATTCGTTTAATTCTTCTCCATAAAATTGTACAGTACTTATTAATGAAAACAGCCCATTTTCTGTTTGCTTAATTCCCTTCTGTTTTACAATTTTATCAGTCTTTCCGAAAAAGTAATTTTCTTGGCATTTGCACGAAGTGAGCAACTGCAAAAGAAATGACATCCTGGGAGATTGTTAGGTCTGGTATTCATTTCCCATTTCAGGTGCAAGCCAGTACGAGAGTCTTAGCAGCAGAGAGAGATAACCTGGAAATGTTACATGAGCAGGTACACATATAGTTTCCTCACCGTCACTATCCTCTGTGTCAGATCATTCCTTGAATGCAAAAAATGAAAATCAACTGAAAAATAAAATGAAATCTATACAACCGAATGAAAACAATTCGATGCGATTTTTCTATATATATATCATTCCTTCCACCTCGCGGTTTTCTGCCGACGGCATTTGAGTTTGTACTGCTTCTCACTCCTCACAGTTAGTAAAGCGATGATTGTAAAAGGTACAGGTCACTCACAGGGCGATCTGTAAAATTAATGAAAACAAAAAAAGTATTTTCAATCTCTTTTAGTTACAATCGAGTCCATTTTTTATCTATTTATCATTCTTGAATGCAAAAGTGAAAATGAACTTCACGGCTTCTTGCTGACGCCATTTGAGTTCCTCCCTCCTCTCTCTCGACGCAGGCCAAGGAAGAGTTGAAAGGCTTGCGGCGAGAGCTCGTCTCTAAAAGGCCGAAGACGTCTTATATAATTTCTTCTATATTTATTATTCCTTGAATGCAAAAGTGAAGATGAACCCCACGGCTTACTGCCGACGGCATTTGAACTCCTCTCTCTTGACGCAGGCCAAGGAAGAGTTGAAAAGCTTGCGGCGCGACCTCCTCTCTAAGACGCCGAAGACGTCTGCGCAGGCGTCGATGGCGGCACAGGCGATGCTGCGACGGCTGGAGCGCGAGCGCGACGAGGCGCTGTCCGACGTGCGCAGGATGACAAGTGAACGCGACACGTTGCGGGAGAAGCTCAAGGTTCGGCAACGATTCGCAGTCGAAACCCGGCGTTGACCCACCTCCCCTCAGTTAAACTCCCGTTGATCCCCTCTCACCTCCCAGTAAACTCACTGTTGAACCGACCCGTCTCCCCCCTAATTTACAAATCCCTGTTGACATCCCTTCTCAACCCTACATCTAAACTCGCCTGTTGACAG